CCCCAAAACCCCAAAACCCCAAAACCCCACCTCTCTATAAATTAAAATCAGATAATTATTAATAAAAATGACACATCTGATCCCCCACCACACCTCCTCAACTTCAATCTCCACTCCCTCAACCACCAGTCTCCAAAACCCCCACCCTCCCAAACACCCCCACATCTCCCTCTACCACACTCTAGACTCCAACCCCCTACCCCAAAATCTCCAAACCTCCAGTCACACCCGCCAGCCCATCCCTTCAAAATCCTCTATTGCTCAAAAATTTAGAACAATCCGCCCCATTTCTTCCCAGTAAGCCCAGACCATTGAGAGGTGTTCTAAATTTTTGTGTTAGTTTATATGGTGTTGTTATATTTTTATAAGGAAGAAGCTCCACAACAAGACAAAATTGAATTTGAAATAAAGTTAGGCCCAAAACAGCCAAAGGTATGTTATAAACTTCTTTTTCATTTATATTCAAATTAAAGATGAAACTTTTATTTGATTCCTTTATTTGAAATAACAGCATTGTTAAAATTAAACCAATTAAACTATGGATAACTCTGGTAGAAAATACCATATTGATCTATCACAATATTTGTAAGATCTTTAGAAGATTTGTAACTTCCAGATAAACGATTGTGTATGAAAAATGAAAGAATTTCATGAAACATTTTGAAATTATTAATATTTGTATATTTTCAAAAGCATCTCTATCTTCCCTAAAATCTTCTCAACCTTTTCCCTCAAATTTCCTATCCTAAATTTCTCTAGCACGAAGGAACCCCAGCGCCAAAAGAACCTCCAATAACAAAAAGTAAACCTCCTCGATCATTATAGACTTCTCGAAGAGACCAGCTACACAAATAGCTTATCTAAAGTATGCTTCCCATGATTTCAAGCAATAATTTATAGAACACTGATAAGAGGAAAAAGAAGTTATAGATAAATCCATTTACGAGGCATTGTACCCATTTGACTCCAAAACTGGGTGATTAAAGGAGTAAATCACAAAATTGAAACATCTAACTTTATGTAGGGGCAACACGAAGTTTTATCATAAAAATAAGAAGAATAAGACTGGCCTTTACTCGATTAATAAGCTAAATTCTTCTTATAAAGAGATCAACTTCTGCTCAAAGTAAATTCAGCTGGAAATTTTTGTTTATTTCAGATGTTTTACAAGATTTAATCGTTTAAATTTAGAGGATTTAATCAGAGAAGAGTAGTTCAAAATTTGTCAAGACCAAGTTCAGTTAGAAGAGATAGGAAGTATAAGATAAGATCTAAGCTTAGTAAGACGTGCAACCCTGTTCTTATTTTGGATAATGAACCTGAGAAGGTAAGACATTCAATTTTTATCCTAAAATTGTTGAAGTTTTCTTATAAATTTGATAGAATCTCTTTGATTTCTAATCGTTAATTAAAATATTTCAAATCATTTTTCTTTATCATTTTCAAAAGAATTTAGCATGGAAATGGAAAATTTAGTTTTTCAATTGCTTTCTTCAACCTAAAACTTATATCTCTCAACCTTCAACATCCAACCACATACCATAATCTCAAAAATCTCATCAATAACCCCCAAATTCCTTTCTCTACCAAACCCTTCCAAACCTCACCCCACCCTCTAGCTTCCCTTATCCATCACCACAAACACCACCAACTTCCCTCCCACCCAAGACACCACCCTCCACCTCCTCACCTGCGCCAATGACTTCCTCCACCTCCTCCAATCCTTCAACAGCTACAACTCCAACCAGATCTGCACTTCCCAACTCCACAAAGGTAAGCCCAAGCTTACCTCTAGAAATTGGAACTCTCTGAATGCAAGCCAAGGAAATTGTGACTGGTAAGAAAATTATTAAGATTGTTGGGTGTAAGGGGGTGTTTTGAATTTAATCTGGAAAAGTGTGTTTCGGAGCTTTGAGAAAATACATTTATTGAGTATTTGAAATGGTAAATATAGAAGAGCTTGAGGAAGATGGTATAAGAGAGAAGAAAAATGAATATAATCAAGTAAATACTTTAGGACTCCAGAATCATCGATTCCGAAGAAAAGTAGTGCGTTTCGAGGATGAACAGGATATCCTTAAGAAAGAAAATAATTATTTCCAAAAACAAAATAAAGATCTGGAGGATGGATGTAAGCTTTGTCAATAAAGTCAAAATTCAGATTCGTCTGACAATGATTTGGACATATCAAGTGAGTTTTCAAGAGAAATCAGCCAGTATGTATTAACTTTAATCTTAATTTTGATCAATATAAAATTCTATTAATAACTATCATGAGTAGAAAGCACAACATTTTGATTGACGACAGAAGATAGACCACGATAAAGAAGCAAACAGAAGATAATTTGTTAGAGAATTTCATTACTAAGATCTAGTAGAGAAAGTAAATATTGTTTTATTCGGGATCAATTATTAGCTTTGCCTATTTCCTAATGTCTGCATAATTCCTTACTTGTAAACTTTTCCAATAAAGCTTTATAATCTGTATTTACGGCTTGAGATAGTCGTCATAATTAAGATGATTCATTTAAAAATATCGGAAATGGGTTTTCAATGATTTAATGAAGGTATGGGGTTTTGGGGTTTTGGGGTTTTGGGGTTTTGGGG